CGGGACCAAACAAGGCTTGATAGGTAGCAGAACTGGAAGGAATCGAGCGAGGGCGGCCGTGACGAGAACGGCGGTGAGAACCCCCAGAGAGAGAGGGGTTAAAAGGCGCAGTAGTAACAACTAGAGAAGGAGCCGCGCCAGGGGACGAGGTAGTCACCACTGGGGGCTTGGGGCTCGACCCAACCACAGAGGAGGGAGGGGAGCCAGGGGAAGGAGTCAGAGGCCAAAGGAGGAGCAAGGTCGGGGCCCAATGCAGCGGAGGCTACAGAGCCCGGTCTTCCAATACGGACCGACTCGGGGGCTTGGTCGCCCACCCCACGAGCCTGAAAAGGTAAGCCAGAAACAGCCGAAACAGGGGTTATCATCTTGACGAAATTACGAATTCACTCACGAATGTGCCCCCACACCCACCATGGAGCCACAATTAGAGGCAGGACACCCAACAAGAAGCTATCGCCGATCTTGTCGGGGCCTCCTAGGGGTGCGTCGTGAGTATACGCCCCACAAACGCCACCTTAAGAAACCGACAGTCCGTCGAGATCGGGTTCAGTGACGAAGTGGGGATTGACAATAAAAGGTTCCCCTCGCTCTCGACGTCGGGTACCGCAGTTCTACGGGTGCAAGAGTATGCCTCCTCAAGCACCCGGGCGTCAAAGTAGAAGAAGTCCAAGGGAAGAACCAGAACGAGCAAAAGGTCGGCAGGAAACGGCAAGCAGATAGGAGAAGAGGGGGGAGAAAAACGAAACAGAAGGAAAAGGAAAAGATGCCCAGCAGAATTGGAGAGGACGGCAGCAGGAGCACAAGGCTAGAAAAGGACAGAGGACTGTCCCAAGGAGCATCACACTCCGGCAGCCGCCCACTAAGCCCCCAGACGGCGACAACGAGCTGAGCGGGGAGGGGGAAGAATAAGGGAAGGGAATGTGCCATCAATGCTGGATTAAATATTTATCAGGTAAGAAGAGGTATTTGACATTTAGTACTTTTCTCTCTTGGGTAAGAATAACCATGTCCTCTTGGAAATAAAATGTGCCGTGCATTATACTCTAAAAGAAAATAAGGAAAATGAAATAGCTGATAAACTTGATTTTAGGAGAGGACACTATGACGAACTTTGCAAGTTCTTTAACCCCTCTACTGCACAAACTGAGATATCTTAGCTGACAGGGTACACTCGCTGAGAAAACTCGTTTGCAGATACTGTATAGGGAATTATTTAAAACTCATGCGGGTACACGAAGCTCACATTCTGTTCTTCAAGACTCCAGTAAACGCACATCATCTTGGGACAAAAAAAATAAAAATAAATAAATAAATAAATTGTCTGTATCCCTCCTGGCTGTGAGATCTTCAGTACTATCACAGCTACCAAGGCTTTGCATACAGCAGGAACTTACAGCACACTTAATTAATAACTATGACTAAAGTAGGTAACTGAAATTATTTTGTGATGATAGTGTCACAGGTGATTCTGATGGTAATAAGAACGACATACAAGGTTCAGATATCAGGGAACACAATGCTAGTTATGATACTGACAGCACACAGTCGAGTGTCAGTAGCCAGCTGTAAATGGGGCGGATCAAACTGACTACTGGTTGAATCATTTGTGGATTTGTTTGCTGCTTTGTTTCTTTTCTCTGCAATCTTTTCAGTTATCTGTTTTGCTTTGCTTCCTTTCTGGAAGTTTCCTTGGTGAGGTTGACTGTATCGATCCCCTGCTCCCAGAACCTTTGAGGAGGAGTGGGGGGAGGGGGGGGGAGGGGGGGGGGGAGGCAGGGTAGGCAGGTTTCAGCTCAAGTCTCCAGTAGACTATTATGAAATGCTGGGGCTTATGTGCCTTATGACATCTCAAGGAGCAACCAGAAAAGTACAGAAACAAATATGTAGCTCAAGACAACCATATACTGTATACCAAATTGAAATAAATTCAGAGAATGTGCACAGCAAATACGTCTTGATTTGTCCTCGAATGAGCCACTGCCCTTTTACAACCTGCCATTCTCCTCCCTTGTTCAATTCTAGTCAAAAGTATAATTCTTGATAGACATCACTTCTTATTATTTAATCTTTCTCACATTCATATAACACAAATATTTCAGCTATTTCCAAAACAATATCATCATTCTTGTTTGCATTTCTCAGCATTTTTCTCCTATATATGAGTTGTGATTAATTAATATACGGTGACACCTCAGCTTACGAATTCACAAATTCACAAATTTCACTTGCTTCACAAATTTTTTGGGTTACGAGCCCAATTTCTTCGTAAAGTTTGAATTGGGTTACGAGCTTTGCTTCGAGTTATGTAGTTTGTTGATATGCGTATGGGCGACCTAGCACGTGGTTCCTGGTGGCACGGTTGCCCGCACTTCAGTTTACCAGTGCCTCCCGCTTAGTGACAATCGCGCTTGAAATCTTTGTAAAGCATTTCAGCGTTTTCTGCTTTTTTAGGTTTTGAACATAAAAGTAATTATTATATATCACACCATGGGTCTCAAGAAAGTCAGTGGTAAGGGTCAACCTAAGAAAACACATGCGAGGATGACCACAGAGCAAAAACAAGAGATCATTCGTAAACATGAAAATGGTACACGAGTTGTTGAACTAACTAGGCAGTACAACAAGTCTATGTCAATGATATGCTCTGCAATTACAAAGAAAAAGGACATTATGAGTGCTAAAGTGGCAAAAGGCGTATCCACAATCATGAAACAAAGAACACAAAGAACATCCACAAGAACACTTGAGGATGTTGAAAAGTTGTTATTAATTTGGATACTCAACAAGGAGTTAGCAGGTGATGGCATTTTAGAGGCCATCATTTGTGAAAAAGCAAGACTATTGCATGAAGATCTTATAAAGAAAACCCCCTGGAACCTGGCAGACTCAGATTCAGATGCAGATACGAAGGAGTTTAAGGCGAGCAGGGGATGGTTTGAGAAATTTAGAAAAAGAAGTGGCAGAGTGTTGAGAGCTGGTGGAGGAATACAGCGAAGAACTGACCACTGAAGAACTCCTAACCATTCACAAGGAACAACAACAAGAGGCAGCTGAGAGAATTTCTTCTTCAGAGGAGGAGGCAGTACAAAATGTCCCTTTCGCAACAATTAAGAAATGATGTAGACTATGGGAAGAAATGAAAACTTTTGTTGAAACGACTCACCCCACAGCAAGCTGAAATAGGCCGTTGCCATAACCTTTTTAATAACATTGTGATGCCTCACTACAGACAAGTGTTACAACGTCGGGAAAAACAAGTCTCTATGGAAAGGTTTTTAGTGAGTAAAACAAGCAGTGAGCCACAAGCAGGTCCTAATGGTATACAGGCAAAACGTAGGAGAGTACCCCAGATAAGTCATCACTGCCTGATGTTATAATGGAAGGGGACTTCCCTTCCAAACACTAACACCTTTCTTCCCCCCCCCCTCCTCACTGTCTTCCATATGCCAACAAGTCATCAATAAAGGTAAGCTATAACTTGTACATACTATAGTACTAAATATTTGAGTCTATTAGGTATGAAATGTATTTTGAAGTTAATATTTTTGGGAGTGTGGAACGGATTAATTCAATTTCTATTTCAATACTGCAAATTTTCGAGTTACGAACCGTCTCTGCGAACCGATTAAATTCGTAAACGGAGGGGGGCCACTGTATTCCTGGAGTGACTGTACTGTATTTTTAATGAATTACAGGAGTAAAGAACACTATCTGAATACATGCTTGGTATCTTGTGACAGTCTATTTAAGAGAACAGCATCATTTATTTCCAGTGATGTATAGCAGGTGGGAGACTACAACCATGGAAAGTGGTGTGTCGGGCACTTTACATTTACCACCTGGCACACCAGGAAATTATCCCATGGCTGTTTTGCACAATAAAATTCTGGTACCAACTTGCTCCTGCCACATATATAGACCTAAAATAACTTTATGAGCATCATTTTTTTTTAATTTGTTTTGTTTACTAATCTATTTTATTAATCATCTGATTCAGTCAGCACTCATACTTGTAATACCTTTCATTCTACTTCATCATACTCCCCAATTAACCCACCGACAGTCATTCTAACTTGGAGCTATCCCCTGATAATTACCTTACATTAATTATCTGGTCCATTTATGACTTCAAAATAGCCATGGTGACCTTACACATCATTGGAATACCCTGCACTGTTTTTTTCAAACCAGTCACCCAAACATTTTTCATACAACCTTGCTTCATCACACAAGCTCTCACAGAACAAAGTTTAATCTCCTTCACAACATACACATACCACAGAATTATAATCAACATACATATTATATGCTACCTCATATGGTCATCACACTAGTTCAGTGACAGTTTTATTTATTTTAGATACTGTACTTTTAATCTTATACATCACACATTACTAGGCAAAGCCATAACCTCAATTCACACCACAGTATTACTCTACTACTTGCGATACCACCACACTCACAGGGGTCTCTAACATCCACACATCCTTCACTTCCTCACCATTAGCACCCTTCTTTTTCCTCCCACCCCAAATTTGTTATTCTAATTCACACTATTCCTTCCGTCATACATTCAAATCCTGACTTTTCTCGCCTCCCATATCAATTCGCTACGTAACTTATTCTTATTACAATGCTGGGTTGTGCCCAATGCCATTTCCTTAAATATTTGCTTTATTGTATTTTTTCCCACTATTTTTCTTATAATGTCCCACTTTCATAGGTTTGCTGAGATAATCCTAACTCTTTAAACACATTCTTGTTTCTCTGCAAACAAAAGGCTACAGGTTTACTTACAACAAAATTTAGCCAAACACATAACCAAGATTCAGTTGTGTGCCCGAAATTTTTACTACTTAACACATTTCAATACTCATATACTGTACAGACATGGGGAAGAATCTACATGAAACAATCTTCCTTAAAGAATGGGATTTTTCAAAGGGAGCAAGAAATTATAGTTAATAAGAAATAATATTTGATTAGCAAGTTTTGCTTACCTCCAGGTTTGACTTTTCTACCAAACTTGTGTCTGTGAGGAGTACTGTGCTTGCGTCCACCTCGGCCGCCAAACAGGTTATCAAATTTATCTCCTCCCCCTTTACCAGCCTTCATAGTTGCTGCTCTGGCTTGACTTCTTGTCTTTCTAGGAGAAGGTTTCTCAGACTGATGTGTTGAGTGAGGCGAAGGTGGTTCAAACATGTCACTGACATCAGAGCTGTCAGGTGAATTTGGCGAATCCAGATCCATGTCAATGACATCTGTATGCGTTATATCTCTTCCATTCTGTGTTGCTCTGCCCTTTTCTCCAAGTCTTGTAGGAGCTATTATAGTCATTAGAGGAGGGCGGCTTAAGGGGTTGGCTGCTGGAGGGGGCCGTGAAAAGTCTGGAGCCGTCACAGTTTGCACAACTTGTGGACGAATTATGGTACCAGCAGCAGCACTACGTCCTGCAGCTGCTATAACTGCTGGATAAAGAATATTAGCAACATTGGCAGGTAGACCAGGAAATATCTGATTTATGGGATTTGTTGGGGCTGTAGGAGCAGGAGCTGCAGTTTTTGGAGCAGCTGCTTTAGTAGATACAGCAGCAGCAGTTTTTGCAGCCTTCGCAGCTTTGGGTGCCTTAGGGGCAGCATTTGTTGTTACAGCCACAGGTGCAGCAGGTGCTGTAGTAGGGGGCACAGTACTTGTAGCTTCCTCTTCTGGTGGTTTTTGAGGTTCAGGTGGTCTCTCTTCAGGTTCTGGTGGTTCTGTGGGTAAAGGTGGAGGAGAAGCTGCTTTTGTTGCAGAGACAGCTTCAGGGGAAGCTTTCTCCACTGTTTCAGTCTGATCACTGCTACTAACTCGAGCTTCCTGTTGAGGGGAACCTGGAGGAGATGGAGACTTTGTTGGTTCAAAGGGATCATAAACATCTGGCTCAGGAGAAGAACCTGGGGGAGACCCAGCTGGAGAGTGTGGTACTCTAACTGTGGGGGACTTTGCTCTTCCAACAGACTCATCTGATTCTGGAGGAGGACCAGGTGGAGTATTGGGTCCTCTAGCAGGAGCTGGGGGTTCCTCCTCCTCCTCCTCCTCATCACGCAATGGATTATTAATAGGTTTAAGCACCTGCTTGCTTGAAAGTGTAAATTTGACAGCAGGCTCAGGAGGAGTTTTAGGTCCCTGAGGTCTGACAGGAGGCACAGGTGTGGTGCCTAAATCTGGAGGCAACCGAGTAATGCCCTCATCTTCTGAGTCAGAGATAAGGATGGGTTCCTGAGGTGGTGGTGTGACCATAATCACATCTAAATCTATAATTTCTGGACTTTTAGGTGGCTTTTCTTTATTGCGAGTCTCGGCCAATCGTACGGGTGACCACATTGGCTCGTCTTGAAGGGGTGTTCGTTTACCACCTGGGGATGGAGTTCGACTTCTTGACCAAACTCTAAAAGGACTTCCACGTAGCTTTGTATTATCTTTTCTTGCCCTCCTCCTTGCCTCTCCTTCTAATTTTACATTTTTTTCTTTTTTCTTTTTACCTTCTTTATTTTCTTTTCCTGGTGCCCTGTTAAAACTGACACTCACCATAATGCTTCCACCAGCCTGGTAAACTTCTTTACTCTGCAAAGGAGACTTTTCCCTTTTCTTTTTCCTCTTATCTTTTTCAAGTCTTGTTTCCTCTCTCTTATCTACTTCCCGTTCTTTCTTTTTATCATCCTTTTTCCTTTCCTTTTTCTTTTCTACAACTGGATTAATTTTTTTAGTTTTTTCTTTGGTTTTCTCTTTTGGTTTGGCAGGAATTGGAACTTTTTTCTTTTCTGGTTTCTTTTTAACAGGCGTTCTTGATCTGCTTCTCGTTCTTCTTCTTCTCTTGTCTCTACTTCGCCCAGGAGATCTGGACCTTGATGACGAACTGGAACTTGAGCTTGAACTTGAGGATGTGTAGGAGGAAGAGGAAGACGACGAGTAACTCCTTCTTCTTGTCCTTTTTTTATTACGGGACCGAGAGGCTGAGCGCGAATAACTTTTCCTGCCCTTCCGGGCTCTTGTGGCATGAGGTGATCTGGACTTGGATCGCCTTCTTGACCGCGATCTAGACTTTCGTCTCGATCTAGATCTAGATCTTGACCTAAGTGCTACATCACGTCCAAATTCATCCTTCTTTTTCCTTTCTTCTTCTTTCTGAGTAATCATTTTCCGGACATTATATCTTTCCATTTCTTTTCTTTTAGGCTCTTTTTTTCTTTCTCTATCCCTTAATCTTCTTCGGCCCGAATCTCTACTTCTGTCGACATTTCTATCTCTGTCCCCTCTATCCCGGTCCCTAGCTCTATCACGTCCCAAGTCTTGAACATCTCTATTTCTGTTATTTTTTGTCCCTTTTCTCTCTCTGTCCTCTTTTTCAGTATCTCTATAATTTCTTTCTTTGGTGTTTTTAGAAACTTTTTTAAATGAAACATCTTTCTCTTTTTCCTTTTGTTTAGTTTTCGATTTTAACTTTAAAGGAGGAGTCTTTGGTCTTTCAGGGACTACAGCCACTGGCTCTTTAGGCGACACTGCTTCAACTTCTGGCACTGTATTCTCTTTGTCTTTATCTGCTTCTTCATATTCTTTATCGTAATCCTTTAGCTCTTTATCTTTTTCTTTTTTATTCTTCTCTTTCTTATCTTTCTTTTTCTCCTTACGCTTGGCATTCTCATCTATTATTTCACCTTCTTCATACTCTCCTTCCTGGTCCCTAGAGGGAGACACTTCTATTACACGGCGGATCTGTAAATTAACTCGAGGGCGATGAGAGGGAGGAGTAACATGCCTCGGAGTTTCACTGGGAATTTCACCTTCCTCAATATTATCATCGTTATCGTCAAAACTAATCTCTTCATTATCAGATATTGTTTCAGTTTCCAGCCCCTCCAAGCCAACAATAGGTTGATTGTTTCTCTCTCTACCTTTTTCTTCGTCACTTTCACCGAATATCTGTTTAACTAAACAGTCAGATTTATTAGGATTTGCATTTTCATTTGTGCTACTAGTCACTTCATGATCTCCCATATTACTATCAGATAAAGATATTGAACTATTGGCAGATTTTTCTAACTCGGGAGTATCGGTATCTGACACGGCTTCCAGTTCAAAGTCATTTAAGCCCGGCAAGTTACTACTTCCCACTACATTATTTTCCTCCGATTCCTCTATTACTATTCTCCGGGGCATTGTTTCTACGTGTCCTCTACTTTCTGGTTTATCACTATCATCAATCACAAGTTCATCACCACTTGACTCGGGATCAATTTTGTCACTGTTTTCTTTCTTATCAGCCTCGGATGTTGCAGTAATAGATATACTACCCTTATAGTTTCCAATATCACCTTCTTCATCCTCCTCCTCCTCCTCCTCCTCTTCTTCTGCTTCAGGTACTTCTGGTTCTATATCACTATAAATATCTATCTCATCATCATCGTCATTTTTCTTTTTATCATCATGTTTCTTTTCTTTCTTTTCACCACCATTACAGCTGCCACTTGGTAATTCACTCAGAGGTCCTCCTTCTCTGCCATCACCACCATTTTCTTTGAAATATGAAGAGTACGACTTTGACCCTGGTGTGTCATCTCCCTGAGGTCTGCTGTTACCAGCAATTGGAGAACCTCCACCACCACTACCACCACCACCACCACTTGCTGACTGTCCAGGCTGTTGCTGCTGCCTGGAGGGTGAGGAAGACTGTCCATCTCCACCAGCTTGCTGTCTCCCTGGTGACTCTGGCCCAGCTGCTCGCATATTTATTCCTACTTTGCCATTTAATCGAAGATGCTCATGTATTCGACTACCAATGTTAATAGGTATTTTATAAGGACCGTTATATTTGCTTGGTGTAAATGGCTTCAGGATGAGAGATTGGCTCTCCATTATTGAGCCCAATACATCACTGGCAATGCTGGTGTTATTTTCTACTCTTGGTTTTGCCGCCACTGAAGTACGAATGGATGCATGAGACATAAGAGCTCTAACGGAGAGTGCCTTACGGCGTGCAAGAGCTTGGCCGGTGTCTATTACTCTCCCTCTTCTTACCCCTGCAGCAAGAATGGCATCTCCAAATTCATCAGGCCTTCAAAATAGGGAGAAAAAATATATAGATTAATAAATTTATTAAAAAAGGGTTTTAATTAATTGTGCTTAATTTAAAATCAACTGCTGGCCTTAAATGAACACACACACACACAAAATCCAGAGATTGTGAATGGGAAACAGGACTACCGAGAATAAAAAAGAAATGTGTGAAATGCTTTATAAACAGTTTCAAAGTGTGTTTCTACAAACAAAGGATTTCAGAGAGCTGGATCCACTGCTAATTCCAGAGCACACCATAAAATACATAGAGGTATCTCAAGACGAAGTAGAAAAATTACTCAAGGGGCTAAGAAGAAACATACCGGCTGAACCAGATGGAGTTTCACCTTTGGTGAGAGAATGTGCAACTGAGCTGAGCATTCGACTTCATATGACATTCCAAACATCTTTGTGCACAGGAAACTTAGCAAATATATGGAAACAGTCATATATAGTTGCAAGCTATAAAAATGGTAACAGAGAAGTTCCCATTTGAAAATATAGACCTGTCTCATTAACCACTTAACTGCGCCAACAGAGTATTCTCAGTCGGTGGGAAACTGCGTCAACCGAGAAAACTCTCTTTAATTTTTCGGTACCCATTCTAAATGTGTATGAGATTGGTTGTGTACGAAATGGACTCTTAGGACCTCCAGTGAGAGACAGCCATCTTGGAAAAAATTCGCAGAATGCCCTAGGGCTGCCGGCTGGGTTAATTCTGAGTGAGCAACCATGGGTGGCGCACGCGCCGCTGGCTCCCAAACACTTGTCCGACGCAGTAATGAAAGATAACGCTATGTCAGTAAAATTCAAACATTATTGTTTGAAGAGCATAAGGGTCATAATATTGGTGAAGCTAGGTGCAATAAGGACCTAACACAAAGGACAGATGCAAGTGATACAGCACCTATGAGGACGATACAGCGAGCGTATCCAGTTGTAGCTCTGAGCGTCACCCTTACAATCCTATGCTATCTCCAATTTATTTAGATGATGCATAGATGAATCGTTTTCTGCGTTCAGTGATGATGCATCTGATACAAGTAGCATAGATGAACAGTATTAGCAGTTTCCATGGTGGTGTTTTTCATAGATATTTTCAAGAATACCCGAATCTCTTCCTGACTGACGGACACTCTTTGAGGCAAGCTGAATCTCTTCCTGTGTGGGACCATACAAAGCAATTTTTTCAAGACTACCATACAAATTGATATTTTCCTATAATCTTTTCAATACTACCTTATGCTTTACAAGCTTGGTTACATACAACCTACAAGTACTAAAGCCAAGGGTGTACGTGAGTGCGTTATTTGCAAGCACACAGAATGAAGAAACGGGAAGCAAAAATTGATCTGTACCCGGTGCAACGAGAGCGAAGTCGCGCTGTGCACCATGGACTACTTCATTGATTATTACTCACTTCCGAAGTACTGAGAGTGTAATGCAGTGTGTTACTGTGTAAATAGTGTGTGAAACTGTACATATTGTAATTTTAGTGAATTTTTAATAAGTAATATTGCGACAATAAACATTTATTGTGGACACATTACTGACACATGTATCACAGTTCCATGGAACATTATGAACGTTCTACTGTATACATATTGTAAAGGACACAAATATGCATCATATATGCTAAAAAAACAAATAAAACCACACTGGAAATACATAGAACAAATAATTTAAAATATATTTGTGGCAACACCCGGTGCTTGAATGGCCCACGTGACCATGTCTGGGCGATTCATGCTCGGGCGACCAGGCCCTGATGGCATCACAGCGCACCTTGTCCACGTCCCCACAGCCAAAGTGGAATTCGGTATTTATTTTTACAAAGACATGTTCAGGGAAAGTTCGGTGGCCTGTCCACCATGGGTTGGCGTGTATGTGGTATGTTGGGTTGCCAGTACATTGGCTGGGTGGCTTGTGTTTGTGTCTTAGCTGGTGTCTAGAAGCCCTAGAGCTGATGGAGTTGGCTGCAGGAGTTTAATCTTAGCAATATCAAGGTAGTTACACTTCTGGTAGCACAAATATTTTTTTAATTTTATATACCTGTATATATATATATATACAGTACAACCTCGATTCAACGAATCTCCGGCTAGTTCGCACACTTTTCAGGCCGAATTTACTCACCCGGTTCGACGAACAATGGTTCGCCGAAGCGGGGGATGTTCGGATTTGCTTACGATGTCCAGACAGAGTTCACAGACTGGTGGAAAACTTTCCCATTCTATAACAGATTACAATTAATAATTCTCTCATATGACAAGTTGGATCACACAAGTGGATCACACAAGTGGACCACACAAATGGACCACACATGTGGACCACAAGTGGTCCACAAGCTTACGATTTTGAGACAGAGTTCACAGAGTGGTGGAAAACTTTCTCATTCTATCACAGATTACAATTAATAATTCCTTCATAAGAAGTTGGATCACACAAGTGAACCATATGAACCAAACACCAGCCAAAATGGTCCACACAAACACCAGCCAGTGATCCACACAAGTGAACAACTGAGTTTCCATGATTTTCGTTCACTGATTTGGGGCACACGTATCTTTGTACATTAATTTAAAGGATGAAGCGTGATTACCTAGCTACATGTGGTAAAATCTCCTTATAGACATTTTCTGCGATGAAACAAGATGAGTGAGGGTGGACAGATAAGAGAATACTATACTGTATACCTCACTTTACAGTGAGGTTTCACTCACTTTCGTCTGTGTGTCGTCATAGTTCAGTGACCCATGACTTTTGAAAGTTTCATATTAATAAATAATTTCTAAAACCAGTGTTTTAATAGCTTTTTATTATCCTAATTAAACTAAACTAAATAAAACCGAAAATATACTGTAATATGATAGACATCTGCTATTTGAGAAATTATTTGTTATTGGAACAACTCCAGCGTGAGCGAGTGGACGGGTCTAATCCCTGTACACAGCACGATGCGTTTCTCGTTTCAATTCGTCGCCACAGTTCAGTGACTACGGCTTCGAAATAATAAAATTAATAAATCAGTTCTAAAATAAGTTTTTATATCTCTTATTATCCTAATAATGTTACTAATCTAAATATATAACCTAAAAATATATAATATGATGTAAATCCAATATTTGAGATAAATTTATGTTACTGGATCTGGCTTAAACACCAGCCTACTGGAGGGTGTATAGACCTAGTCTGCGTTTATACAGTAGGCACCCAGTGCCGTTACATTTGTCTGCGTGCGAGTGACGTGTTTGTCCGCCGGTGAAAGAATAATCGTGGAATTTACCATTTTTTTTACTACAGCTTTATTAATATACAACAAGATGTCTCAAGGGCTTGCTAATCGTGCTGTATCTGCAAAGAGGAAGAGAAGTTTTTTGTTGAAGAAGAAGCCGTACCCAGCACCAGCACAGCCGTACCCAGCACCAGCACAGCCGTACCCAGCACCAGCACAGCCGTACCCAGCACCAGCACAGCTGTTCCCAGCACCAGCACAGCCGTACTCAGCACTAGCAAAGCCGTACCCAGCACCAGCACAGCCGTACCCAGCACCAGCACAGCCGTACCCAGCACCAGCACAGCCGTACCCAGCACCAGCACAGCCGTTCCCAGCACCAGCACAGCCGTACCCAGCACCAGCACACCTGTACCCAGCACCAGCACAGCCGTACCCAGCACCAGCACAGCCGTACCCAGCACCAGCACAGCCGTTCCCAGCACCAGCACAGCCGTACCCAGCACCAGCACACCTGTACCCAGCACCAGCACAGCCGTACCCAGCACCAGCACAGCCGTTCCCAGCACCAGCACAGCCGTACCCAGCACCAGCACAGCCGTACCCAGCACCAGCACAGCCGTACCCAGCACCAGCACAGCCGTACCCAGCACCAGCACAGCCGTACCCAGCACCAGCACAGCCGTACCCAGCACCAGCACAGCCCTCGTAGCCTGGTGGATAGCGCGCAGGACTCGTAATTCTGTGGCGCGGGTTCGATTCCCGCACGAGGCAGAAACAAATGGGCAAAGTTTCTTTCACCCTGAATGCCCCTGTTACCTAGGTGTTAGTCAGCTGTCATGGGCTGCTTCCTGGGGGTGGAGGCCTGGTCGAGGACCGGGCCGCGGGGACACTAAAGCCCCGAAATCATCTCAAGATAACCTCAAGATAACAGCCGTACCCAGCACCAGCACAGCCGTACCCAGCACCAGCACAAAAGCAGCTGAAGCCAACACAGCAGCAGCGAGCACCAGCAAAGCTGATGCAAACATCTAAAAACATTGTGTGTGAAGTGAACAATTAGAATAAGTGTTAAATTTAAGTGTGTACATAGTGTTAAAATTAAAGTTGCAATAATTCTAATGTACAATAGTTTTCAAGAACTGTATTGTAGTACTCAACATACAGCGAAACCACTTTTAATAATACAGTGCTAACGGCTTAATGCACTGCAGTACCTATTTACTGTAGAGCATTCACAACTTCACAAAACTTCAAGATGGACATAACTCCAACAATAAGGTAAATACATGAATTACAGTATTTTTAGTAGAGTAGTAAAATATAGGTACAGTAAGTAATATGATACAATGCATTTTTATTGTGTACAAGAAAAAAAAAAAGACACCGACGCAAATGCCTCCTGAAGGTCACCTCTTGCAACGAATCCAACACTCCAACGAACTGGGAGTGGTCCCATATAGTATGTTGAATCGAGGTTGTACTGTATATGTATGTATATATGTATGTATATATATATATATATATATATATATATATATATATATATTATATATATATATATACTGGTATATATATATATATATATATATATATATATATATATATATTCTTTATATATATATATATATATTTTTTTACTCTTTATAAGGTGCAGATAAGGTCCAATGAATGCATCCTCTGGGTCCCATCTCGCTTTGTGGAAGTTCGAAGGTTGCTCTGTCCCCTTGTTTCAGGGTGACAGTCACCGTTTTTGCCTCTTTCGTGCTGCCTGTTGGGTCGATGACACCTTTGACCTGGAGTCCTGTGAGTGGTGTTCCTTGCTGGTGCTCCAATTCACCCAGTCTACTGATATTGATAAATGGGTGCAGGCAGCTTCGGTGTCGCATGCAAGGTTTAGGTTGCTGCAATCGGACCCGGGTAAGGCATGTGAAAATGCGAGGTGCCAGAAATAACGAGGAGTGATTTCCGAATGCTCCAGGGAAGATAACACTGACCATGCAAGGGCAGTACTCACGGAGCACTTAGGAAAAATGTCCCTAGATGCATGGAGCTCCGATACCCAGGAACTCTGGGCCAGCGCACACAAGTGCAGCAACAGCCGTACAGGACAAAATCCCAGAACAGGAAATTGTGGCCTGAGGTGACGTCCAACCGCCAACACATCAGTCAAAAAACCAAATGGTGGGTAGCCCGGTTCACCTGGGCCGACTCCCCCCAGGGTAATTCATTGCTCTTAATCTCAATACTTTCTGCGGATGAGGACTCCTCCCGGCGTCCTGTTTCGCCTACCCGCTCCCGCTAGGTGGACATAAATTTATGTCCACTTAAAATATTTGTATAAAATTCAATTTTTATCCGATTTACTTTGGGTTTATTTCAAACTGCGCGCCATAAGGCTCTCTTTCTCACCAATAGGCTGCATGGTACAATAAGTTCATGAAAGGTTCACAAACATAACAAAAGTAAAAACATTTCGTGTGTGTTTGACTCTCACTGATATGTTCCAGCGTCGTTTTATATTTGGCGCTATTCTATCTTACGCTTTGTTGATCTTTTTTACCTACGGGCTCATAGAACATTCTATTGCGAACACACTGACACAAAAATGAATGACGTACATAGAATAATAATGTCATGAGAGTGAAATAAGTATAAACTTTCAAAGCGCCGTGTGTCGTCCCGTCACCGATACCGGGTAACAATTTCACCACTTCCCACACTCTTGCGGGCGGGCCGCAATCATTATTCTACGCTTATATTCATATCACCGTGTTGGGAATTTCATTGCGAGTCCATTGATACCAAAATTAACGCTGTAGGACAAGTGTGGAGGTGATAACAATCCCAAGAGTAAAAACATTTTGTTGCTGTTGGGCGCTCACGGCGAGTCATCTTCGTAGTTATCTATTTGGTGCTGGTATCCCTATACGTTTCGTGAGTTTTTTTACTGATGTTCTTCTAGAGAATTTTATTGCGAACACGTTGGTACTAAAATGAAATACGTAGCTCGAGAACTAAGGTCAGGAGAGTAAAAAGAGTATACACATTTTTGTTTTTACGCTTACGCGGCAAAACGCCGCGCGCACATACCGCTTTTTTTTTTACCTTCGCCGGGAGGCTATAAGTGTTAAAAGGGTAATCTGGGAGAAAGAAATGGCCACCAGGAGGCTACACTATTCTACTACAACAGGAATCATTCTTATATTATTGGCATCATGTGTTTAAAGCTGCAGATTAATATAGTATTCTCAAAATATTATGTAGAAACCACATAAAACAAAAATAACAATGAAAAAACCACAAGGCAGTCATAATAATTATTACAATAATAATATAATAGTAATAATGAGCCTGTAGAGCACACTGGTGATAGAAGAGGTAAGATGCAGCAGTTACTATCACTTGGCCAGTAGCCCACATGTATGTCCCAGCTATCAAGCACCTTGGCATTCAACTTTATGATATACAGAACATGTCTGCACAGGATGAGGAGTGCATCTTTCTAGGGGGATGGGGGCAACCTGATCACGACATACAAAATATACACACAGACAAAACTGATACTGTCAAACTATTATAGCTGAGAAAAAATGAAAGGACAAAGGTGCAAAATGTTAACACAGATGAGTCTGAAGGACAACTGGCAGCATTCCACCAGTGTACTAGTAGTAACATGTAAATATGCCTGATGGGGTAATGGCCGCAGCCTTCATTCACAGCAGTGTAGATAACAAAATGCTAAAGAAGCTTGGGGGATTGTAGCACTAGAAAACCAATAGGTAGAAAACCCAGGAAGGGTCCAGAGGTTAGTACTTATTCCCCACAAAACACTAAATATATAAGTAGGCAACAGACTTTCAATTCATCCCACCTTTATTTAGCCATGTACTTCCTTTTTGCACAATTTACCTTCAATAAATTACAAATACAAATCTGTAACTTACCCATAACTTATGTCTACATCGGCATTCACCCCTAAAAGAGAAAGATGAGGTAGTGCTGCATTAGCTCTCAAGGTTCCAAGATCTTGATCTTTGCTGAAAGGTTGCATTGTTGGAACACGTTCCCAAGGTTTAGATGGTTTTATGCCAAGAGCCTCTGCTATTCTAGCTTTGGGAGTCATGGCTGGGACAGGCAGTTTTGTTTTCTTGATTACCTGTGAAATAAATAATATTGCAATACAAGAAACCTACAACATTACCATTCACAAGGACAATATTTTAATCTAGCAGGGCAGGTGTTGTTGGTCTCAACATACTAGGTATATGCAGATGATGAGTCACAATAACACAGCTGAAGTATGTTGACCAGACCACACACTAGAAAGTGAAGGGACGACGACGTTTCGGTCCGTCCTGGACCATTCTCAAGTCGATTGTGTCATTCTCACAATCGACTTGAGAATGGTCCAGGATGGACCAAAACACCGTCGTCCCTTCACTTGCTTGTGTGTGGTCTGGTCAACATACTAGGTATATACTGTATGATATGGTGAAAGATGATAATGATTAGGTTTAAACAACTAAAGCAAGAAAAAATCAGTGCAGTAATAATATATATAAATATTGTATGGGAATGTGAGAATTGCCAGTTCCCCAATGCCAGGTAACTCTCACAAACTAAACAATAATATGAGATATTCTTAAAACAAATCCAGAACACATTGGTACAAATAATATTAAATATTCCAACAAATATACCCTTTCCCCAATCTCTCTCACTGCGCGATGAAGTGATGGTGGAAATACACGTGGGGTGGGTTATCTTCTTGTGATTTCGGGGGTCAAGGTCCTCGCAGCCCGGTCTGTGACCAAGCCTCCTTCCAGGAGTGGGTGGAGGCAGTTTGTGTGGTGGAGGGTAAGGTGTCGTGGGTGTTTGTAAATGTAATGAGGGTTGGTGGAATAAGTGGTGGGGTTGTTGAGAACATTGATGGCAGGTAGTATGGAGGAGTGATCAGAGCCTCTCTTCGGGATATAAACCTTTGAACCTGCAGCTTCAGTTGATGGAGTTCTTACCTTGAGGTTATCTTGAGATGATTTCGGGGCTTTTTAGTGTCCCCGCGGCCCGGTCCTCGACCAGGCCTCCACCCCCAGGAAGCAGTCCGTGACAGCTGACTAACACCCAGGTACCTATTTTACTGCTAGGTAACAGGGGCATAGGGTGAAAAAAACTCTGCCCATTGTTTCTCGCCGGCGCCTGGGATCGAACCCAGGACCACAGGATCACAAGTGCAGCGTACTGTCCGCTTGGCTGACCGGCTCCCACCGGGGAGCCGTGACCACGAGCCGGAACCTGGCCCCCCTCAAAGAGGCACAAGGAGCAATGACCTATAGAAACCCCCCGTGTGTTTGAAAGCATTCCATGTCTGCCATCGACCGGGGTTTGGCGTAACAAAACAAACCCCACATGGTAAAAATTGCTACCTAAAACCAAACAGGGAGGCAGAACTCCCAAACTAAATTCGGCAAACAGGCAAACGTCGCTAACGCTGTCGCACTGATCGTCCACGCAGGCCTCCCTTCCCTCTCCGGAGCTACCTAAACAAAGAAAAGTGACAAGAGAGACTCACCCGGGAGGGAGACGCCACTCATGTCTCAGCTCAAAGTCGAGACAACTGGCTGCAACCTGCAACACAAAGAGAGACATGCCCTACTAGGGGCCAGTAATGTTGACTAAGTAAGGCACGGCCAGGACCCTGTTTGACCTCCAAAATCCCCATGCCCGAATATCAGCCCAAGACATGTTACCAAAGATGGCAGCCAAAGCAGCATACTTATGAACATCATGGGCATGAGGATAGACAGCAGGCTGAATGGACCGAATGCCCCCTGCAGAAAACCAGGGAGACCCGAGCCCTGGAACACTGAACAAGGAAAACCGGGTCAACCCAAAGCACATTCCCGGCCACAGAGGCCATGGTGCGCAGGTAACAATGAAGAGCTGCAACCGGACACAACACATCATACACTCCCGGCCTGACCAACCAAGCATCAAAGACCCAACGACCCCTCCGGAAAGCCACAGACTCATTCTTCGGCAGAAAAGAAGACAGCTGAAAACGAACAAACCTACCACCAGGCCCGAAAGAGCAGAAACCTCTGTGCCGGAGGAGAGCATGAAGCTCACAGCCGACCCGACCCTCAGAAGTCAATGCTAACAAAAAGAACGCCTTGGAAAAACAATCTTATACCAAAGGGGCCACCACAAAGAGAAAGAAGAGCACCCTGTTCAAGAACCAGGACAGCTTAGGCAGTGCATGAGCAGGCCGGAGGTGACCGTAGGTGAAACAAAGCAAGAGAAAGTTTACGGAACGGAGTAAAAGTAACATCCACTCAGAGTGCAAGCTGAAGCGGCTCTGCCAGAGCTGCACAATATGAGGCAACAGTATTAGGCATTAAATGATGGTCCTCAAAAAGCCAAGAAAGAAAGGACAAGACAACCCAATTCAAAACAGAGGACAACCTACGAAGAGAGAGAAAATGGCGGAGAGAGCGCCAGAAAACTTCATACTGTCGCCGAGATGAAGCATGCAGGTGGGACACCATCAACGAAGCCACCTGATCACCATACAAGTGGTGATAGACCCATGTCAAAAGACCAGACATGAAGAGTGGAGAAAAAGACCAAACCAGCTAGGTACCTGACCAGGCCAATCTGCTGAAAGAGGCGGAGCTGTGGAAAACATCGTAGGTTCGCACACCGAGCAAGCAGCGCCTGAAACCAAGGCTGAGCCGGACACCAAGGAGCCAACGGGACTACTCTCCCCTGGTAAAGAGGAGAGTACCAATGTTGGTACTCTCTAAACACACACACCACCACATTGAGAATCGGCACAAACAACTTCAACAAGGCAGCCAACTCGCCTACCAGGTAAACCTGTACCACAGTGGAAGTCTCCCACCAATGAAGTGTGCGGGTCCGACAAAACCCCTGCCATGCACCCAATGAAAAGAAAGGGCAGGTTTTGGCGCTTCTCTGAGGGGGCTAGGTTTTGGTTCATGATCCCCGGTAGGCAAAAACTCTATTGACTGATGTCACGGTCTAATACATACATATCAGTCCGGTAAGCTTTGGGGAGCCATAGGGGCTCCCTTCAGAAACAGTGTTGTGTGTAACGAAATAGTACTTTCCGAGTGTCACCCGAGTTGATCCTGGAGCTCATGGCACTGGGATCGCAGGGATACTCCTTGCTATATAAAAATATTCATATAAACATCCAAGGTCAACATTGGAGTCGCCTGTCACATACAATTGTGTCAGCAAAATGTCAACTTCAGCCAACTACTACATACTATATACCTGCAACTGGTAAAAATGCAGTTAGTTTATTTTCAGTTTTCCTTACATCTTGCATACAAATTAATCAAACAAAAAGTTTTTTTTCACACACGGGGCTATACGTGCATGTATTTCCATAGCTGTGAATGTTTGTACCAATGAACCCTTTTCCTTTATATAAAACTTATCCACATCTGGGAACCATTTACATGCCAACAACTGATGTACAGTACATCTATAAATGTGAAATCAATCAATTCTTGTTCCCTGCTCAAATCCAGGTTGAGCAGACACAACCGGTAATCCTGCACAGTTTATTTGGATGTCTTTGTTGCAAGAGAGGGAACAGGCACCTATCAACGGTGACATGCTTGAGCTGTGCAATGTTGTTCTAGACACTTTACTCCTTTGATAACCCCTATGGGCTGCTGGTCATATTGCAAGCCGAGGTGGTCAGAAAAGTCAAGTTTAGACATGGAAAACCGATTGTCCAAATCAGACAAAACCTGGATACTAGGAGACTTGAACCGTGAACCCCTCGCGTGTAAGCCAGAAACTCTATTGACCGAGCTATTGAGTAGCTCTAATAAGGAAAGGTTCCAGAAACAGCATCCTGCTGCCAAACTGGAATTTTCAATTCCACCCCCCCCCCCGACTATTACTGAAGCACCAGGAATTACTGACCCTCGCCCATGTCATATAACCACATGCATGGGGGACCACGGCTAGAGTCTCCTAGAGCCCAGGTGAATGGAAAGAAAATTTCAATTTACATGCTATGTCTAGCCAAACCCATCTTTTAAAAATATTAATTTGAATAGTAAATATCCCTGTTATTATTCTCACGAATTTCCATATTTAACATAAAACAAATATCCTTTCCTAATCTGTTGCACTATTCACATCATTATTCACTAATCCTTACTCCCCTAAGTCATAAATTATCTGCAGTTATTCAACAATTACAGAATATTTCTACCATAATGAAAAATACAGCTTGAAGCAATGCCTAATGCGATGCTTACCTTCTTTTTCTTTCTCTTTGTTTTTCTCTTTCGTGTAGTTTTTTTAGTTTTACGTTTAACCTTAAGACGTTTGCCAGATTTTGATGTAGATGTTGCCTTTTTCTTTGTGGTTGTTTTTCTTTTCTTTCTAACTTTTCTCTTCTTCTTACGGACAATTTTTCTCTTTTTTCTTCTGGGAGCTTTAGTGGTTCTGCGTGCTGTGGTACTTGATGCACTCTTGGCCTGTGTATTGCTCTGACTTCCACTTGCCCCCAACTCCTCGGCTTCCTGAGAAGAAATGATAATAAATTATAAAATTTCATACCACTTCCATTTATGTATACCTGTTATAGAAGTTTTGAAATTACATGAATTAATATTATGGAAAGGGGAATGGATTAGGAATTGGAATGCAGGAGGAGAAAGTGGGAGGCAGAAAGAGGGCAGAGAGGGAGGGAGGGAGGAAGAGGGATGAGAAGAGAAGCAAATGGCAAAGAAGGAAAATTGAGGAAAAGGAAAGAGCAGGAAAAAGGAAGGGTGGTAAGGAGGAAGAGGGAAAGGAGGATCAAGAAGAGGGGAAAAGGCTGAATGGGAAGAAATTACTCATTATTTTATTATTTTACTAAACGTCATGGTTTAGCTAAACACATGATACAATGGTGATGAGAATCACATGGCATCTTGTGGATTACTCAAGAATTGTAAACAATCAAGCATTGCATATAATGAAATGCCTCTTTCTGGGTGGGTCTCCGTGGCTCCCTGTAGCTAGCTGCACTAATATATAACCCTCAATTAAATGACAGAATACCTAGACAGGAATATGCCAGAAACAACATGGCAATTATTATTAAATAGAAAAAGCAGCCTCTGTGGCCTATAGAAATGGATCCTGATTCCTAATCGTGAGAGACTTCAACCATGAAGAGCTAAGACTAGGAGAACAAAGAACCACATATAGGCAGATACATGGAAAACTAAACTGTTGAATGTGAACACAAGAAACATTTTAAGCCAACACGTCAGGGGACCCACAATTAAGCCAACATGTCAGGGGACCCACAATTAAGCCAACATGTCAGGGGACCCACAATTAAGCCAACATGTCAGGGGACCCACAATTAAGCCAACATGTCAGGGGACCCACAATTAAGCCAACATGTCAGGGGACCCACAATTAAGCCAACATGTCAGGGGAACCACAATTAAGCCAACATGTCAGGGGACCCACAATTAAGTCAACATGTCAGGGGACCCACAATTAAGCCAACATGTCAGGGGACCCACAATTAAGTCAACATGTCAGGGGACCCACAATTAAGCCAACATGTCAGGGGACCCACAATTAAGCCAACATGTCAGGGGACCCACAATTAAGCCAACATGTCAGGGGAACCACAATTAAGCCAACATGTCAGGGGACCCACAATTAAACCAACATGTCAGGAGATCCACAATTAAGTCAACATGTCAGGGGATCCACAATTAAGTCAACATATCAGGGGACCCACAATTAAACCAACATGTCAGGGGACCCACAATTAAACCAACATGTCAGGGGACCCACAATTAAGTCAACATGTCAGGGGATCCACAATTAAGTCAACATATCAGGGGACCCACAATTAAACCAACATGTCAGGGGACCCATAATTAAGCCAACATGTCAGGGGACCCACAATTAAGTCAACATGTCAGGGGATCCACAATTAAGCCAACATGTCAGGAGACCCACAATTAAACCAATAAATTAGGGGACCCCACAAGAATGAGAGGTAATGATGACCCAGCTTGACTTGACCTGATATTCACACTGACTAAAATGTTATACTAAAGGGAAAATTATGAAGGGATAAGAAAAATTCTAATAGCAATACCAAGGGGACACAGTAATCAGAGAAAAGATTATATAAAACATGATGGACATCTTGATGGTCAGGAGGCAGAGGACAAGTTTGTCCCATTTCAAGTGGAAAGAAGGAATTGCAAAGGAACCCATGGTTTAATCAGAGATGTAAAGAAACAAAGGAAGTGGAGAAACTACTGGAATAAAACAACACCAGAAATCAGAGGAAGACACCGGAGGGCCAGGAATGAGTATCTAAATGAGAAGGGAAGCAAACACAGCATGAAAAACAACATAGCCACATTAGGAATAGGTGAGAAAAGGCTCACTGAGAATGACAAGAGAAGGAGAAGGTCCTGAACTAAGAGAGGGAGCATTAGATCAAACAGCACTAGAGGAATTTATAGTATTAAAGATGAAATAAGAAAGCATCTGCTGGAACTTGATGTGACAATGGCTGTTGGACCAGGAATAATCTCACAATGGATACTAAAGAGGGTGAAGAAGCAGCACTACCCAGTATGCTTGCCACTTTCTATTGTGTATAATAGGTCACTGGAAATGGGAGACCTACCAGAAAGTTAAGACAGCTAATGTAGTCATAGTATACAAGAAGGGAAACAAACAGGAGGAGCTGTCCAGTGTCCCTTAAGTGTATACCATGTAAGGTGATACAGAAGATTGCGAGAAAACCCCTTAGTAACACATCTGGAGAGTAGGGACTTTGTAACACACCACCAGCATGGGTTCACAGATGGCAAATCTTGCATCATAAGTTTAATAGAATTTTATGACCAGGTGACAAAAACAAGAGAAGATAGAAGGATGGGATGACTGCATATTTTTGGATTGCCAGAAAATCTTTGATACAATATCATATAAGAGACTAGTGCATAAGTTGAAGAAGACAGGAGTGACAGGGAAGGTGCTCCAGTGGATAAAGAAGTACCTAACCAACAGAAGAACACGAGTTACTGTGAGGGGTGAGATTTTAGAATGGCATCCAAGAGAGGCTAATAAATAATAATAAACCTGAAGTGGCTGCCATCTGTGAAGCCTCATCACTATATAAAGGAGAGAGAGAAAAAAAAAAAAAAAAAAAAAAAAAAAAAGAAGAGATGAAGGCCTTAATTAAAAGGAGGTTTCGGGGTAGGAAGTAAACCTACCAAACAGGCGGGAAAAGGAGACAGTATAAATGATTATTGGTTTGTAGCAAAACTGACGGGCATGAGGTTGACTGCAGGTTGATCCATAACAAGACATCAAAACCCTACGACGCTTGCCAGGGCCTGAAGGCAAGAATCAAGCAGGACACCCAGGCATTAGTTGCCTGCCATTAAAACTGACACCAAGCGCAGCACTGAGGATAAATACAGCCACAAAATGTGTCGGCAGCATGCCGTAAATACAAGCAAGTGACCCCCCCTAGTTCATCCCTTAATCAATAAACTGCAGAATGCCCCAACCACAGACACTTGCAAAAGACGACAAACCTTGCACTACTCAGGGCAAGGCACCTTACACAGTAAGTCGGCCTTTATGTTAACACTTTCGCGCTTTAGATTAGAGATAACTCGTCGCTGTTTTTTCTTACGATTCCGCATAACTGCCTACTTTTCTCGTCCATCGAAAAAATATTTCTATAAATTCCATTTTTTAACCGAAATGGATGGGGATACTTTTGTTTTGTGGAGAATTTATTTGCGAATTTTTTGGTACCAGAATGAATATTATATCACATAAACTTCTATGAGTAAAAAAAAAAATACACAAAGTATGTTTGGGGGTGTGGCGAGCGTGTGGCAGTGGGTTCCCTTTAGCCGTTGATATATCCAACACGTGGGAAATATTTGTATGTGTTATGTATATGTCTGTGTAGGGAATTTTACTGCGATCACTGTCATACAAATTATAAAATGTTTCAACAAGTATAAACATGACAAACATCAAACGAACGAAAACAATGCGTTCGTTTCTGCCGCGAACGCATACTGAGCGACGTGGTTCTATATTTGGAGCTTCTCTTACACATGCTTTGTACAAATGTTATACAGTTCATCTTATAGAAAATTTGATTGCGAACACATTGGTATAAAAAAGAAATACGTACATAGAAAAGTAGGGTCAGGAAACGTATAAACTTTCCAAGCATGATTTCCCCCCTGTGTTTTCGCCAGTGCGCTCGGGGCTAACTACTCTCCACTTCACACACTCTTGCGGGTGGGCAATTACCTATATTAAACATTCATATGCATATGTCCGTGTAGAGAATTTTATTGCGATTCCAATGATACCAAAATTAGCGATGTAGGACAACTGTAGGCTTCGCAACCATTAAGAGAGTGGAAACATTTTGTTGCTGTTTGGCGCTCTCGGCGAGTGATCTGCATAGTTTTTTATTTGGTGTTGATACTCCTTATGCTTGGGCGGCATTTTATAGGTATGCTCTTATAGACAATTTCATTGCGAACACAGTGATACCAAATTTAAATACGTGCGCCTTCAATTATTGTCAGGACAGTCAAAAGAGTGTACACTTTTTCGGTCTTACCGCGTAGGCGCGCGAAGTGCCGAAAGCATCTGGGGTATTGTTTTTTTTGAGCGCCGAGAGCGCGAAAGTGTTAAAAACTCTTGAATCCACCAGGTACGTTACCCTGTCAAGGCAGGTGCATCAGGAGTGAGCATCTAGGGAAGGGCTGCCCTAAACACACATAACTCGAGGCAGTTTACAAAAATTCACACAACCAGCAAGGCTTGTTAACACATGCATGTGAAGCTAATATTAAATTATGAAATAATATGCAAGGACAGTCCTGGGGACTGAAGGAGCAGTCCAAACTGTTGGACATCAGGTGAAGGACTAAGGATTGTTGACATAGGAAGCTGGTAGCTCCCAGCAGTGTGACCCTGGTAGTAGACAACTGTAACTATGGAGGGTTTGACCTAGCTGCTGGGTGGATTGTTTGTAGAATCATTTGCTGTTTTGTTTCCTTTTCTCGGTGAACCTTGTAGTTGTCAGGTTTGCTTTGCTTCCATTCGGGGAATTTTTTTCGCGAGGGTGACCTTAAGAATCCCCTGCTCACTGTGTCTCTGTGGGACCAGGTTCTGACTCTGGCCACAGGTAGGCTACTAAGGACTCATAGGACTGATGTGACTCATATATTTGGAGCTATCTCAGTGTGGCTGAGACAGAGTGTCACTGTTTGGTCCCTGCTGAAATACCATGTGACACTAAATTTACAGAAAACTTGCTGTATGTTACAACAGTTAAAATAAAAACACATCCAAAGATATACATTTTTTAATAAAGAGTGATAATAAATGCAGACCCTGGGAGTATTTAATTTCATCTTTGGCTGTTTTTAGCTTGCCAGTCGGTCACCTGGATTCCTGCTACACCTTGCTAGGGACTGCTATTTCAGACCACATTCAAATTTCATTTTACCTTTTGTTTTGCTTTCAAAGCTAATTTCTCTGTTCATGCAGATCTATGTCCTGCCATTTTGTCTGTTGGCTGTTTCTTTGGTGATCAGCTAATGTATTCTTCAGTACCCGGTTTCTTGTTTTAATGTATGTTTTTTTCGGATACTTCCTGTTCTCCACCAGTCAAGCTTTAGGGTTTGCCTCTGGTGGTGGCCTTGAGCTGCACAGGTTCCTTTGGCCTTTTTTTTTCTTTTTTTGGGTAGATTCACTTTACCTTGGCAGCCAGGGCTGGTTGTAATTTTCCTGTTTATGTAAATATTTTAATATGTATATTACACACACATATATATAGCAGTGCAAGCTTCCCATGCTAGGGCCTTCCTGTTGGCAATCCATAATTCCATTTGGGCACTTTGATTCCAATTATCTTTAAAAACAAAATGCAAATTGATATGGGTTTACTCTTTGTATGATTCAGCAAATCCATTTGAAAAGTTCCTTATCACAGTGGGACACAAGATAGCCTGGTGTGTCCATGCAGTGTCCTGTATGAACCCCTGAGCCCCTGGTCAGGGAAATGACTAACAAAACTTTGCTAAGAAAATTATTAGATCTCTTAACAGTACAAAGTAATATTTACCTGTATTTACTATGTATTACATTCCATTTTCTTTATAGCTGCCATATCATATATAATTATCGTATTGCAAATATAAAACAAGAAATTCAACTATAAACTTACTGCAATAGCCTCAAGCAGAGCTTCCTGTTCTCGCATTTCATTTTCTGTAATAATAGCCCTCTGCTGTCGAGATCGTGTGATACGAGCACGAACTCTTTCTGAGGCACGGGTACGGGGTAAGAGCCTTGGTCTCTCAACAGCTCGGTTTGGACGCAAGGCTGGGAGGGATGAGCTTGGAGCACCATCTTCAATTAAGTCATGAAGTTCTCCGTCCTCAATTTCAGCCTGGAATAAATTTTCAGAATTAAATAAACATTGCTGTATAATTATATTTTAAATACCATATACTGTATGTGTGTGCGTGTGTGTGTGTGTGTGTGTGTGTAATTACCTAAGAGTAGTTACAGGATGAGAGCTATGCTCGTGGTGTCCCGTCTTCCCAACACTCTTTGTCATATAAGGCTTTGAAACTACTGACGGTCTTGGCCTCCACCACCTTCTCATCTAACTTGTTCCAACCGTCTACCACTCTGTTTGCGAAAGTGAATTTTCTTATATTACTTCGGCATCTGTGTTTAGCTAGTTTAAATCTATAACCTCTTGTTCTTGAAGTTCCAGGTCTCAGGAAATCTTCCCTATCGATTTTATCAATTCCTGTTACTATTTTGTACGTAGTGATCATATCACCTCTTTTTCTTCTGTCTTCTAGTTTTGGCATATTTAATGCCTCTAACCTCTCCTCGTAGCTCTTGCCCTTCAGTTCTGGGAGCCACTTAGTAGCATGTCTTTGCACCTTTTCCAGTTTGTTGATGTACTTCTTAAGATATGGGCACCACACAACCACTGCATATTCTAGCTTTGGCCTAACAAAAGTCATGAACAATTTCTTTAGTATTTCGCCATCCATGTATTTAAAAGCAATTCTGAAGTTAGAAAGCATAGCATAGGCTCCTCGTACAACTTTCTTTATGGGGTCCTCAGGTGATAGTTTTCTATTTAGAACTATCCCTAGATCTCTTATCAGAATTCTGTAAGGATTTCTCACATAATTTATAGGTTGTGTGGGGTCTATGTTTACCTATTCCACATTCCATAACATGGCATTTATTAACATTAAACTCCATTTGCCAAGTAGTGCTCCATATACTTATTTTGTCCAGGTCTTCTTGAAAGGCATGACAATCATCTAAGTTTCTATCCTTCCTATTATCTTAGCATCATCAGCAAACATGTTCAAATAATTCTGTATTCTATCTTGTAGATCATTTATGTAGACAATGAACATCACTGGTGCAAGAACTGAACCCTGTGATACTTCATTTGTGACATTTCTCTAGTAAGATACATTGCCTCCGATTACTGCCCTCATTTTTCTATCAGTCAAAACATTTTTCATTCATGTTAGATGCTCACTTGTTACCCCTCCAATATTTTCCAGTTTCCAGAACAACCTCTTATGTGGAACTCTGTCGAAAGCCTTTTTTTAGGTCCAGATAGATGCAGTCAACCCAACCATCTCTTTCCTGTAACATCTCTGTGGCTCTATCATAGAAACTGAGTAAATTCGATACACAGGATCTTCCAGATCGAAAACCATACTGTCTGTCTGATATTATATCATTTCTCTCCAGGTGATCTACCCATTTAGTTTTTATTATTTTTTCCAGTATTTTGACTACTACACAAGTCAATGATACAGGTCTATAATTGAAGGGGTCTTCCCTGCTGCCACTTTTATCGATTGGAACTATGTTAGCCTGTTTCCACACATCTGCTACGAAATTAAATACACACACACTTTGTACATAAAAACAAAGCAACAAAATCAGCAGTGGAAGGGGTAGTAAAGAGCAAAGGGAAAGGGAACATGTTCCTGAAAATTGTATATACCAACATAGATGGAGTGAGGTCAAAAACTTTGGAGTTGCAAGATATAATCCAGCTTAGGGTCCCCGATATTGTCGCATTATCAGAGACGAAACTTGAAGGAAATATAATAAATGAAGTCATATTCCCAAGGGGCTACTCAGTTTGGAGACGTGACAGGAAAACTAGGAAGGGAGGAGGAGTGGCTGTCCTGGTGAAAAAACACCTGAAGGTAAGAGAGTTAATATTTGAAAACCCTCGAGATATTGACATAATGGCATTGCAGATCTGGAATCAGGATGATAAGCTGATAATTGTAAATGCCTACAGCCCACCAGCAAGCAACACATGGATAAAGGAAGAACTGGATGACAAACGAGAGGGCCTCATAATGGTCATGAGAGATATTATTGTACAAGCAGATAAAGATAAATCATGACTGTTGATACTGGGGGACTTCAACTTTAAAGCAATAGACTGGGAGGCCAATGAAGCAAGAACAGAGGACTTTTGGACATGCAGATTTGTGAACCTCATTCTGGAGACATTCTTGTATCAACACATAAAGCAGCCCACAAGAATGAGGGAAGGAGATGTACCGTCAGTACTGGATCTAGTATTCACCAGGAAAGAAGAAGAGATATTTGACATCCAGTACCTTCCTCCCTTGGGAAAGAGTGGTCACGTCCTGTTAGGCATTAAATATGCTTTAAGATATCATCTAGAATAAAATGGGGACATTGAAACAGATGATAAACTCGATTTAAGGAGAGGTCACTATGGAGAACTTCAAATTTTTTTTAATGAGTGTAACTGGTCAGACTTGTTGCTAGGCAGGGAAGTAAATGAAATGTATGCCCAATTTTCCAAAATATACAATGAAGGCACACAAACATTCATACCAAAACAGAGATGCTGGGATAGAAAACAGGATTGGTTCAACAGAAATTGCGAGAGGGCCAGAGACCAAAAGACACATAAATGGAATCAGTATAGGAAGAGGCCAAACCCTCGAACATACCAGCGATACAAAGATGCGAGAAACAACTATACGGCAGTAAGAAGAGAGTCGGAAAGAAATTTTGAAAAAGGGATAGCGGATAAATGTAAAACAGAACCGGGCCTATTTCAAAAATTCATAAACAACAAATTGCAGGTGAAGGATAATATCCAGAGGTTGAAAATGGGAAACATTCACAGAAAATGAAAATGAAATGTGTGAAACATTAAAGTTCCAAAGTGTGTTTGTACAAAATGAAATCTTCAGAGAACCAGACACTATAAGAATTCCAGAGAAGAACAGAGTGTATAAAGGTGTCTAGAGATGAAGTGGAAAATATGCTAAAGGAGCTAAGTAAGAATAAAGCAGTTGGCCCAGGTGGAGTTTCACCATGGGTTCTGAGAGAATGTGCATCTGAGCTCAGCATTCCACTTCACCTGATCTTTCAGGCATCCCTGTGTACAGGAATCGTAGCAGACGTGTGGAAACAGGCTAACATAGTTCCAATCTACAAAAGTGGCAGCAGGGAACACCCCTTCAATTATAGACCTGTATCATTGACAAGTGTAATAGTCAAAATACTGGAAAAAATAATACAAACTAAATGGTTAGAACACCTGGAGAGAAATTATAATACCAGACTGACAGTATGGTTTTCGATCTGGAAGATCCTGTGTATTGAATTTACTCAGTTTCTATGATCGAGCCAGAGATTTTACAGGAAAGTGATGATTGGGTTGACTGCATCTATCTGGACCTAAAAAAGGCTTTCGACACAGTTCCACATAAGAGGTTGTTCTGGAAACTGGAAAATATTGGAGGGGTGACAGGTAAGCTTCTAACATGGATGGAAAATTTCCTGACTGATAGAAAAATGAGGGCAGTAATCAGAGGCAATGTATCGGACTGGAGAAATGTCACTAGTGGAATAAAACAGGGTTCAGTTCTTGCACCAGTGATGTTTATTGTCTACATAAATGATCTACCAATTGGTATACAGAATTATATGAATATGTTTGCTGATGATGCTAAGATAATAGGAAGGATAAGAAACTTAGATGATTGTCATGCCCTTCAAGATGACCTGGACAAAATAAGTATATGGAGCACCACTTGGCAAATGGAATTTAATGTGAATAAATGCCATGTTATGGAATGTGGAATAGGAGAACATAGACCACACGCAACCTATAAATTATGTGAGAAATCTTTAAAGAATTCTGATACAGAAAGAGATCTAGGAGTGGTTCTAGATAGAAAACTATCACCTGAGGACCACATAAAGAACGTTGTGCGAGGAGACTATGCCACGTTCTTTAACTTCAGAATTGCTTTTAAATACATGGATGGCAAAATACTAAAGAAGTTGTTCACGATTTTTGTTAGGCCAAAGCTAGAACATGCCGCGGTTGTGTGGTGCCCATATCTTAAGGGGGCGTCAGTTTCCAATTTGCCCTAAAAATGCAACAAATGAAAACTCGTTCGATTTCAATCAAACTTTTTTGACAAGTTCTATATGAAAAGTGTTTCATCTGGTCCAAGTTTCAGCATCGTAGCATAAATAGGAAGGGAGAAAAAAAATATTGAAGTAGTTGTGAAAATTATGCAAAAATGGTCAAAATCGATTATCAATCAAAAGTGTCAACTGAAATCATAGCTATGACTCTTTGCTATCACAATAGTATATATTAAACAAATATTATAATTAGTTTAATTGACAAAAATTTTTAAGAAAAAAAAAAAAAAAAACTTTTTTTTAATTATTTTTTTTTTTTCATTTTTTTTTCGGGCGATTTGCATCAAACTTACACACCTGACTGTACGTAAGCCTATCTGTAAGGACGCCAATTTTGGAGAAAATTGGTTGATGTCAACCTCAGCCACAGATTTTAGAACCTTAGACTTCATTCATTTCTGTTTTTTTTTCAATTGACACAAACGTTTACAAAACTGATTCATTTTTTATTCAATTTACATGAAACTTACACAGTATATGTGGAGGGCATGTCTCTACATTTGAGAGTTTTCATTTTTCTCTAAGTTCATTTATTGATTTTATAATAGCAATAAACATGCCATATTTGCAAAAAAAAATTTTGGAACTTTGAACATTTGTATTAGGAAAACTAAAGATGTTTTGGAAATTCTATATCTCAAGGTCCTTTATTATATGCTAATGTGTCAGGAAAGTGTCAGAATAATTATATCTGAAACGTGTGTTCTGAAGTGTGGACTTGAAAATGTGTAAAAAACGTTGAAAAAAAAACAAAAACAAAAAAATCTCCCTTTCTCTTTATGCTGCAGTACTGAAACTTGGGACAATTAAAGCACTTTTCATATACAACTAGTCAAATAATATTGGTTGACATTGAACAACTTTGATTCTGACAATCTGACGCCCCCTTAAGAAGAACATCAA